ATGAAAAATGGTGCATGACCATTTTCTCTTAACATGTGTAATAAAAATATATACATGTATATAAAGTTTTCACGGTTCTAAAACAAATAAACAAATGTTTTAAACTACATTTACAACGAAAAGATGCAAAGGACACATAATAAGAATCGACACAATGTTTGACGTCGTTTGACGTTCCGTTGACGTTATGATTTTCTAAAATGGACGTTGTCAATATTTTTATATATGCGTCACAAAAAATGTCATAAAAACGTTATTTTACGTGATACGAGCAAAAGTTTGGTATTTTCATAAACAAAAAATGATGGAGACTTCATTTCAAGAAAAAAATAAAAATGTGAAATTTTGACCTTAAGGGCCCTTTTCTCATGACGCCAGTCAATTAACTGTCAGGTAGACTTGTTGAATCAACCTAATTTTACTTTATTCTTGCTAAGTCTGGGGCTATTAAAATTCAGATATGATAGAAAAAGTACACTTAAAATTTCTTAAATTTATTTAAAACCTTAAATCAAGTACTCCAAAATGTAAGGTATATAGAGAAACTGGTAGATACCCACTGCCAATATTTCTAAAATTAAAAATGTCTGCATGCATAATGTACTGGGCAAAAAATTTAAAAGCCGATGGAAGTAAACTTACAAATGTAATTTATTCTTATTTTTACAAGTGTTACACAGGTGGTTCTTTTAAACATCCATGGATAAAAATGTATATAAGATATCCTTCATTCATGTGGACTGTCTTATTATACATCAATCAAACATTTCATAGTTTTTAACTGGCTTAAGTCAATTATTAGAGAAACTGTATGAAACCAATATAAACAAGAACAGAGTAGTATTGTCGATAGCTCACCTTAATGTATTAATTATAGAATTTTTAAAATGAACTTTGGTCTCGAAAATTATTTGTTGAATTAACCTAATGATTTAAGATTTATTTATACAAAGCAACAAATATGTATTCATCGTCTTCTGAATAAAACAGATGGATGGAATAACACTGACAGAAATTTAAGAACGTACTATATGTAATTTTAATAGTATTGGTGAGAAATTTCATTATGTTATCGAATGTAAGTACTTTTCGAACAACAGAAAAATATGTATAAATAAAGATAAATAGCCTACATATATGAGGCTATATGGAGGCTATATCTTTATTTAAAGATAAATAGGTATTGTAAAAATCATTTTCATTCATTAAGAAAATTTTCAAAACTGTCCGTTCTCCCTGAACCCTCTATATATAACTGAATGTATGTTTACTTTTTTCTTTCTCTTTTATTTGTTCTTTATATACTTGTCTATATTTTGCCCTTTGCTTTTTTTTTTATATATTTACATTGTATATATATTCCTCTTGTACCAGTGATCTGGTTTTGAGCAAATAAAGAATTGAAAGGATTATATAAATTATGCATCATTACAAATTATGTGGACAAACTGACGATGAACACCTCTGATTATGTTTAGAGGGCGATTCATCAGCTATAAGAAAAGAGATTTAAATGAAAAATGAATAAAATGTGCTAATTTTGAGAATCTAAAAATGTTGTATTTAACATGTTTAAGAAAGACATTTCTTATGCCAAAGTTATTTTTTAAAGGCGAAAAACTGGAATGTGTTCCAGTCCATCGCCATTTGGATCTATTATTTAGTTGGTCATTATATTGAGGGTATTGTAAGTAGTGCTTATAAAAAAACTCGGTCTTCTGAAAAAACTGAAATTTAAAACTGGTACGAAAAACATCAAAACTGTATGCTACATTTATCATATGCCTCAATTGTTTGGGATGACTGCTCTAAACAAGATTCCGAAAAGCTTGAAAAATTATACAACTAACTGCCACTAGAATATTGTAACAGGACTTCCTATTTTCATGTCTAGCCTATTTTTGTGTCTGAAGAAGCACTTTATTCTGAAACCGGTTGGAAAACTTTAAAAACCAGGCGATACGTTGCCAAAATGACGACTATGTCCAAAATTCACACAGGAAGAGTACCTAAATATTCGTACAATATTGTTCCATATAAGCACCCGTAATAGCGTTCCTATTCGGAACACCTCGGGCCTTTCACAGTTTTTCTGTGAAAGGCCCGAGATGTTCCGGAAGATTGTTTGATTTTATGTTGTTTTACGTCCCATTCGAGAATTTTTCATTCATATAGAGACGTCACCATATACCGGTGAAGGGCTTCAAAAGACCTTTACTCGGCACTTAGGGCCATTGAGCAGTGAGGGATCTTTACCGTGCCAACGCCTGCCGTGACACGGGGCCTCGGTTTTTACAATGTAAGTACTCATCCGAAGGACCCGCAACTTTCATTTCAAAGTGTCGAACGTTTGGCGAAGGAAGTTGCTACCTATTTTTATCGACTTAGGTCAGTCGCAGCCGAGATACGAACTAATGACCTTCCGATCACGGAGCGAGCGCTCTACTGACTGACCTACCGTGACGGTCTGTTCCGGTAGATATTGTTCCAAGATGCAGATCAGAATTATTTAGAAATTCCTTCGCACACGATGCTGCAAAATATGGGAATTTTCAAAAATCCGCCATCGTACTTTTCTTTTGGTAAACGATATATCTATATTAGTCATACTAAACTAAGACACTACTGTGTACTAAACTATATGATTTATATAAATGAAATATTATATATAGTCCTTTATGTTCATGTGGAAAACAAGAAGATGTGTATCATTTTTTATGCATGCAAAAATTGTTCGCATGGTTACTATTGACATTAAAGGACTTATCGCATGATCTTTCAAAAATCGTAATTTTATGAAAAATATTATCTATAACCTTATTTATCAAAATGCTGAATACAATAATCGTTGTTGAAAGCATATTTTAAGAGATATTAAGAGTTGAAATTCAAAACTAAATTACGTGGTAAATTTGCCAGTACAGGTGCTACTGTTCATATTTAGTTATTGATGAAACATATTGTAAGATATATAAGGAGAGGAACCAGTAAGTTATAAGAACTTGTTTCCAATCCTTTTGTTGGAGTCAATAAAATATGTTTAAAATAAAACAGTGTAGTTTGTTCCCGATTTATCTGAGTGATATACCTTTACCTCCAAGTCTGACTTCCTAATGTCTTTATAATGTATGTATACATTTCTTTGTACTTCATGTACCATATATGCGTTTCTTTCTTTCTTTCTTTTTTTTTTTTTTTTTTTTTTTTTTTTTTTGAAAATAAATGAGATTAACTTTTATTTAAAATTATGCAATTTGACTGCTTAATGTCATGTTAAAGATTCCTTTTAAATTTGATAGTTTTGGTCCCACCCTTTATAAGGAGTATAAAGTTCACAATTATGTTGCTTTTCACCACAAATGATATGTCTAAATAGTACCTGTTGGGATTCTCCCCATCACAATATCATTCATTACCAGCAAAGGTGCTGCCTAAAATGTTATTAGCGTAAATATATAATTAATTAGACATTAAATGTGATGAACACAAAACAAGGCTTGCATGTTGCTAATTTTCTGCATGAATAATAAATAAAGCAAGACATTCGTGTACTTGAAACTTTTTTGACAAAAATAACGGGGCAAAGGAGATAGGGCAGGGTTCCAGTGTTCCACCCCCTCTTCATATGGCCATGCTGCTTTAAAGACATTTTATTGTTCGAGTTCTCATCTTGAGATATTATTTCGAACATCTCATGCACTATATATTTTTAGAAGTAATTCGTGTGATCCTATGATTCTTGAAATGATTTTACACTAATGATATAATACAGCATTCGTGATTAACTTTGCATCTATTAATGATATTTTCGTGTATCTATTAATGATATTTTCGTGTCATTTTATCATTAACGGACAAAATTGCATTTGTATCATAGGTGGGTTTTGTATCATTGAAGGTTGTTGATTCATATGACATTTATTTTATTAATGGATGCAAAGTCGTTCACCATGCGCGGATCTAAAGGTGGGTCGTGTGTCTGGAACCCCCCCCCCCCCTGGAATTTGCAGAGTTATTAAAAGAATGTACTGAAGCAGATTTTAAAAAATGACTTAACAACCCCCCCCCCCCCGGAAAACGTGGACCCTACCACCACCACCACGAAATAGGTTTATTTCACGTTTTGGAAATGGATTTTTTTTTGGTTTTGTTTTTGTTTTTTGTTCATAGACGTTACTAAGATACAAAGTTTAAATCGTAAAATATACAGAAAATGCCATCACTGATGATTAGTGATTAGGACGTACGTCAACAGTAAATTATTAACCTCTCGTGAATGTACGGATTCACATTTTGAAATAACCGGGAAGGGAAAATGAATTGTTTGTTCCATTTTAGAGCAATATTACAAGAAATGGTCGAGGCTTAAATTATAGTATCAGCCTTGAGATGGGGAACAAGGGGGCTATCCCCTCCCCCTATATCCAATCATAACTTTTTTCATTCTACCGTTGGAAATGTTCATTGAAAGGACCCCCCCCCCCCCTCCACTTTTTATTGCGGTATAGCTGAATCAAGGTAATGTTGTAATGTATTAATAAAAGTTTGTTGTGAAAAAAAGTTGGAATCCCTTCACCCTTCGAAATTGAATTTCGACTTTGGACAATTTACCCTTTTTTTTGGTTTGACAAATTTTATAGGTAAGTTGTCAGTCTTTCTTTTTTTTCTGGCTACCCCCCCCCCCTTTTCAAAAACGATACTACGTACCTGTATTTTACAACATTCACAGGTGTCATCGGTGAATAGCTGAGTTAATCTTTACGATATATACCTAAGAATATATATATCTTTTTTAAATAGAAGTATCTAAAGTTAATCTGTTTTCTGTCAAAAGGTAAATATTTTAATCAAGTATTAGGTCTTCGTGGACATTATCAAACCATACACCAATGTTGATCTGATGGTAAATAAGATGTCCATTCACAGTTCTAATCATTTCTTTGTAAGTTGTAAAACTTCTCCCGTTGGGCAATTCTTTCTACCGTATTAACGCACCGCTTCAAATAAAGCAAAGGTGTGATTAGAATAACTCACGCGCAGGAAACTGTATGAATAAAAATCTCCTATTTAACTTAAATAAACTTCTAGTGAGGAATTTCTCAAGGTGACTTCAACAAAAAAATGAAGCGATGTACTTGAAGGACAGACACAAGCGATATCCACCAGAGGGTGTACTAAACCCGAGAAAGTTGTGAAAAACACCCCAGAAATGGTCCGTTCTCCGAGATAAATTCACGCAATATTTGTTGGATATATATTCCTAATGAAGGGATTGATATACGTTGCTACCTAATTGAGAATTGATGTGGATAAGAGAATTTTAATGAAAGCTTAAAGGTAAGTGTGTTGGACAAATTCATGTCAACATTTATATTAAAAAACAATGCCTACTTCAAATATAATCCATTTGATACACTCTGTACGATTTCACCGAAGAATACAAAACAGGACATGAAAAGAGACTATCAATTTTTTTTTATTATTATGAAAGTTTGTTTTATAAATTAAGTTTTGAATAAAGCTAAAAAGGTGATAATTAGTGATGAGACAAGATCAAAGGATGATTCTATCTATAATAAACTTTTTTAAACTTCCATATCGACTTCTCCTTATGAGATTTATAAAGTTCATTAAAATACATATTTATTTGGCACTTACACATCATTTTGCATGTACAATATTTTCACTCATGAATAATTCTTGTATTACCTGTATACTGTGAACTGCGTATCTTAAAAAAAAAATGTAGGTTATGTGAACAGTAAAAAAAAACCTCTGTCAATGAGATTTAATTTGCGACGAATTTGAAAAGAAAGATCACTCATAATCTTTAATCAGTAAATGATCGGTGACAGTAATTTCACTTCACATCGTAATCTCCTCTTGTTAATCCGTAATCCGACGTAATCGGATATATTTTTGCTTTTTCAACATTTGCCTCTTGTAATTTATCCCTATTGTTTGTGACATGAATCATGCTTTAAGAAACCGTTTGACTTTTGTCCTCGACTGTAAGTAATTTATTTCTATTCTTTGTAATATGCGAGGGCAATTTAGTCCATTTCTCTGTATGTTCGACCTCTGTTGCTTTAGAATATTTGCATGTATACATGTAGTGTATGCAGTTTTAAATTCGGAGAAGAATACATATATCATAATTCTAAAGTTACAGTTTACATTTTATTTCTAGAAATAAAATGGATTTTTTTTCAACAGTGTTCGTATAGATAAGATATGCATTTTTAATATACAAAATATATCAACATACACACATTAACTATTAGAAAGTGGCATCTTATTAAGAAGAAGAAAAACATATAAAGTTTGCAGAACATTTTTAAAACAGTGTATATAGATATAATTAAACAACCCAAAAGAAAGTGGGTCTGTAATTGCGACTAAAAAAAAAGCATTTGATTTTTTTCCCTTAGCATAAATTATGAGTAAATTTTGCTTCATAAATTTTAAACAAACAGATGGTATCTTTTATTTCCCCATATTTTAATGTCTTTGTACCGTTGTTTATCTGGGGTCCAATCCTGATATACTTATGTACAATATCTATACTTCATGATTCACATTCACAGGAATTTGTGCGTCAAACCAGGTCATTGCTGCCCCCAGGGGGGATCGACTGTTTAACATATAACTAATACACAAATATCAAAGGGGAGGTAGCGTTCCAAGGGAATACTGCGGAAAAATTTTACATTTGCTAATATGAACGAAAAATGGCTACCTGTATACATATTTCATTACCTCTCCAGGTTTTGATGTTGGATTCAAATTCTGATGTGCAGGAAACTAACTTATGTACAGGATTATTCAGTTAGGTAGGGAATTATTTGGTGAATGTGAATTTAATATGCCATTAAAAAAAATATAATTGTCTAAATCTGAAACTAAAGGCGTTAAATTTCTAGAGATGTTTTCGCCGAGTTGGTGTGTTTCTCGTGTTGCTCTAATGCTTATATGATGTAATCTAGTGCCTGAATTAGTGTGATATGGTAATTTAAAGTTACAATAAAGTTTTAAAAGTTAATCGTAAGTAAATGTGTAAGTATTTGTTTAAAAGTTGAATTTATATCCGATCGTTTGGCAAAAACCAAGATGGGCACTAGAATTATTTCAGAATAATACAAATCAAGAAACAGTAAAATGATTAAATCAGCTTAAGAAACAATTATCGTGTAATTTCTTTGGTTAGAAATTACTCAATCTTGATTAAAATCTGCATAAATACAGACTTTTATTTTGGATGTCTTGTGAATGGACGTTTATTTGGCACGTGCGGGTCATTCTCACGCCCACCGTTATTTCATTATCGGCCACAAATCGCATTTAGGGCACTGTCATTGTGTTAAATCGTACCCGTAGGAGGCCGCTGTATTAAAATGTCTTTGTTTTCCCCCTTTTGTATATCCTTCTTTGTCAGTATAATTTAATCCATTGCCAGACTGAATCCCCCTTACTCATCCGGTCTGGATTGATACTTTCTCGTTATTTTTACTTTGCGTTTTGTATTACGACTATAGGCCTGTAATTCCTACTCGCACTCACACAATTAATAAACGTCCCCACGACTGACAGGTTTATGTGGAATTTGTAGAGGATTTTACTTCTGGAAAGGTAACCAGTGGGTGAAATGTTTGCTTCATTTTTTACCAGATGCATCCTTGTTTATGTTCTCGGTCTTTTTTTTTTTTTTTTTTTTAAATTTTTATTATTAATATATTTGAGCTTTTTTCATCACGAAAAAAAAAAATTTGAAAAAAATCTTGGAAAATATTTTGCAGAATTTGAAGAAGGATAAAGAATTTGCGCTGTGTTAGCATCAATATTAGATAAAGAATCATCTTGTCCTAATTTTCTGAACATGAACCTTCATTCTAATCTCCCTTCCAGAGATGTTATTCTATTGAAGGAAGGGGGATAGCCTGAACAGTTTTTTAAAATCAATATGGGATAATTAAAATAATATTTGCTATTTTAATACTAATAAGTAAAATGTACATTTCAAACGTTGACAGTTTCATTTATGAGTGACATCTAAGGGGTCCAAGTGTGAAATTATTTCTCACAAAACTTTAATTCTTGTAATAAGAATTGTGCTTTTTATGGGATACGTAAACTTTACTTTTTAAAAGCTAAGATCGTGCAATTTTGTTTATTGTCAGATTGTTAGTCATAGTTACGTATCCAATCAAAAAGACATTAAACATTTTCTCACTTTTTTCCCCTAGCAGAATATCGGGATGAACGTGTATGAGACAGACTCTGGAGATTGCGAGCGGAATCCGGGATTGTATAAAACATGTGAACAGTGGAAATGTGTTCCCGTCAATATATCTTGTCGTAAGTACTACTCTTATTCGATTAACAGAAAAGAAGAATATAGTGTAAACTCAGGCATAGGTCGATGGTTAACAAGTTTGTAATGCACTCGGAAACTAATTGACCTTTACTTATAATAATACATATACTGTTCATGTTGACCTATACACTGGAGTCTTTTTTATTTATATATAGTCCTAAGTTCACATATGATATTTTGTAACAGAATTTTAAATTGGAAAAAAAATTATGTTCAATCCTGGCTTCCCGTTTTTGCAGCATGCTTACCAGAAGAGTTCAGCTGCGCAGACGACACATGCATTCCGAAGTCTCTTGTCTGTAACGCAGTGAAAGATTGCGGAAACGGAAACGACGAAGTTATATGTAAAAGTAAGGAAAACAGAACACCATTTGCATTTGTAATTTTTTCATAAAGTAGGTAATTTGTTCAGCATCTTACAAATTCGAAAAGCAGGCAAAAATGAGAGAAAAGGCGCATGTAAAAATCGTGGGCTCTGCACATTAGGAACTACATCTCAACTTTACTGATTAAATTTCTTGTCTTGATTCAGATAAATGTATAGCTTAACCAATCACATGAAGGGAACAAGATTATGCAATATATATTCAATTCAGTATTTTTTTGTTGGCGTGTGTAAAACAAATTTTCAACTTAAAAATTAAACTATCGGAGTCGTACAAACAGTTGATTTTAATCAGATTCGTAAAAGTTGAGATAATCTATATGGTTCTTTATTTTAGACGGCGAGTCTTCATCCATTCCACTGTCTATATTCATTGCTGTCATAGCTGTTTGTGTCTTATTTTGTGCCATAGTCATCGTTTTCGCTTTCATATGTCTCAGACGCCGTCTACAGAAGAGGGACGGATCTCTGACAAGTAAGAATTATAAAGGAAACAGGATATTTACACAATATTTCAATCAAACGTGAGGTCTTTGATTAATGAAACTATATATAAATTTATTTCAGGCAATGTTCTTCTGCAACAATCAAATGAAAAAGACAATATTCATGACGTTTGTGAAAGTACTAGCAAACCTTGCACAACAGTGACTAACAATGGAAGTGATAGCAAACATAATCCGCAACGTAACTATGGTTACGAAAAAGTACCACAAGACTTTGGAATATTCTTTGGAGAAGAATTTCTTGGAACGTCTACACCTAAGCAAGGAATTAGGCATATCATAAACCCTAAGAGGTTTTCAGGAAATGTTGATATTAAGGATCAAATGGTTGTAAACCAAAGTTTAAATAGTTACAGTGATTTTAAAAATGGTGCTCAAAAGTCACAGATTCAGGAAAGAGCTATAGGGGACAGTGTCGGCGATCTGAACGCGTCTCTCTTTCTTCCTATCACGTGACAAAGATTTCTGATTATTGATCTTCCGTTTTATTGTATCCTGACAAAGTCATGGAACAATGAGCATACCAAAATTAAATATCCGGTAATATGTCCATAACAATATTATCATATTATAATCATTGATATGTATTCGAAATCTGTATGTTGAAAAAAAAATACTTGCCTTTGGGAAAAAATCTCAATGAAATGAAAATTAAATTGTTATGTTCATCAACTGATCGTCGTCTTGTTTTATAGGCGCATTTTTTTATTTTAATTCAAGAATGCCAAGGAAAAAGCTGCAAGATGGAATCAATGTTCTTCTCTTAAATACAAACCAAAAATCATATTCAGGGAGATTAGTGATTACATGTACTTCGCATGCTAAGTTTTAATTGCGAAAATATCCTAAAAATCTGAGGACCGGAAAACAAGGTTAAAACGGACCCTACTGATTAAACTGAATTCGTAAAAGGCATATAAAAAAATGTTTGTTTCCACTTTCAGGCTGAAAAAAGGATAGGAATGTAGGCATTTTGGGGGGGGGGGGCTTTCTTTATATAAAACATCTAAGTAGCACTGTTGACAAAAGAAATAGTGATTTAAGGAGGAATGCTAAACCAAAATTTTATTTCATAGACCTTTAAGACATCCCTGATAAGCAGTGGTTTCAGCATTAAAAGGCCAATATTAGCTCTTAATTATTTAATCAGAAATTTTTTTTCTGTTTTTCATAGAAAATGAAAAAAATGATTTTATTTGCTAATAAGTTGCTTTAGGGAAAAATTTGCTGTTAATAAATGCATAATAGACATTTTAATTTGTTAAATAAAAAATTATTTATGAAGATAAAACACATAATTTGTGAATATTTTTTAAACCTATTGTTAAAATCTTCATAAAACTAAAGACAACTAGGGAGAATATGTTAGGCAATCATATTTTAAAAAGAAATTGAAATGAAATTGCGAAATTTTAGAGAAATTAATTTTTTTAAATTTTGGCTAATTCCAATCGAAATTAAACTGATCCCAACCAGAATTTTGTAATAATTCGAAATGGATAACATTTTCACAAGAATACTAGTTTGATTAGGTGTAATACAGGTTAAAAAGTAATTGAACTTGATAATCAAATAGATTTCTTAGTGGTTAATACAAAAAGAAGGCAGTAAATTCTTACTTCATTTATTTTGTGTTTATTTTGATCGGAATCAATTTAATTTTGATCGGGATTGGTCCAAATATTAAAAAAAATTATTTTCCCTACAATTTCTCAATTTCATTTCAATTTCTTTTTAAAATATGATTGACTAACATATTCAACAATATAACAATACAGGTCTAACCATTGATATGTAGCGCATCTCCTTGGTTTTCTGAGGACAAGATGGTAGATTCCTCCGGAGAAAGGCTGTGGTGGAGTTTGCCTTCTTACAGACTTGGTCTATGTGGTGATTCCAGCTTAGGTTGTTGGTAATGGTTATACCCAGGTACTTAACCTTGTTAGTCAAATTCAGAACCTGGTTGTGTATGATGTAGTCTCCCTGGATGATTTTTCTTTTCCGTGTGATGCGAATGACCTCGCATTTGTCAGGATTGAATTCCATCAACCAATTTCTTTCCCATTCTTGGAGGCTATCTAGGTCCTGTTGTAGCTCTGCTGTGTCTTCTGGTCTGCTAATTTTCTTATACAGGAGGCAGTCATCTGCAAACAGACGGGCCTTCGACTTCACGTATGCAGGTAGATCATTGATATACATCGTGATCGGAAGGTCGTGTGTTCGAATCACGGCCGCGACTGACCTAAGTCGATAAAAAATAGGTAGCAACTGTTCCTTCGCCAAGCGTTCGGCACTTTGAAGTGAAAGTTGCGGGTCTTTCGGATGAGACCTTAAAAATGGAGGCCCCGTGTCACTGTAGGCGTTGGCACGATAAACAGACCTGCCTACCCTTTTTATTGCGAGGGTGTAATTTTAATACTCATTTTGGTGGAATTTCAGAGGTAAAGGCGTAATCCTTCATGTTTTCCTAGATATTTTGCAATGATACTATATTGTCTAAATAAACCTGTAATTAAACATCATTGAACAAAGCAAGCATGAATGTTTCTTTTTCAAATCAATTTTTTGACACAAAGTCCATGTGTTGTAAAACTGGTATCTATATGCAGTCATATCAAACTTATTTAAGCTTACATGCTTTACTGAACGTTTGGTTAATTTCTAGCAATTCACATAATTCAGAGTTACATTTCAATGGCAATACAAATTGTACATTATTGCGCCATGTCGTTTTTGTTTTCCTTACATTTACTTTTCTCTATGTTGTTCTAAGCAATGTAAGAATAAACTGAATTGAAAATTGAACTAACTTTACTTATTGCACATATCATTCAAAAGTTTTCTAATCTTTGGCATACCACCCGTTAAAAGGCGTATTATAACTACAAGGTATATTACGTATGTTGTTTGTATGGCAAATAATCATATCGTGATTCTCTATTAATTAGTATTATTTACCTTTCGTTTTTATTTAGGAACGCCTTTACTTTAATTCCAAAGTTAGCCTTTCATTAAGACGTTTTCTATGAGAAGTTTTAAAGCGTAAAATTAGTTTTCATGGCGTTACAGCGTAATTTTGGGGTAAAAAGCGGAAGAATTACGCCAAAAGCGGAAGGGTAGGCAGGTCTGGATAAAGAACCCTCACTGCTCAATGACCCTGAGTGCCGAGTAAAGGTCTAAATTTGAAGCCCTTCACCGGTACATGTATATGGTGACATCTCTATATGAGTGAAAAATTCTCGAACGGGACGTAAAACAACAATCAATCAATCAATCAATCATTGATATACACAAGGAATAACAGTGGGCCTAACACTGTTCCTTTAGGTACTCCAGAGGTTACTGGTGCTGTTTCTGACAAAATGCCTTCCATCGCAACACGTTGGGATGACTCTATCCAAGACAAAATTGGGCCACGGATTCCATAGTGGTGTAGCTTTTTAACCAGCCGCTGGTGTGGCACTTTGTCGAATGCCTTGGAGAAGTCGAGGAGCACAGCATCAATTTGGATATTATCGTCGTCTAACCCTTTTGTCAGGTCTTGGATGGTGAGTATAAGTTGAGATTTACAGGATCGCGATTTGTGGAATCCATGCTGCATATCAGATAAGATCTTGTGCCGGTCGAAGAACCGCATGATGGAGCTATGAATAACGTGTTCCAATACTTTGCAGCATACAGAAGTTAAAGACACTGGGCGATTGTTTGATGGTTTGCTCTTATCTCCCTTCTTGAAGATTGATGTAACTGTGGCTGTATTGCAGTCTGCGGGATTCTGCCATGGTGTATTGAGGCCTGGAAGATAAGTGTGAATGCAGGTGTAATTTCATTGGCCATTTCCTTAAGTAGGGGTGTGGGCAGTTCATCAGGACCACTTGCCTTATGAGGGTTCAGCCTGGATAGTAGCTTCTTAATGCTTTCTTGCCTAATGAATATGTTTGGCATGTCTGGAATGGTACTTGGACCAAGGTCTGGAAGTACTGAACCGTCCTCTGTGGTGAAGACAGAAGAAAACTTGCTGTTCAGTATTTCTGCCTTATCCTTAGAGTCAGACCTAGGAATTACATCCTTCTTGAGTGGTGAGATGCCACTACTGTCACACTTCGGTCCTTAACCAAGGAAAACAGCTTTTTGTTGCTCTTATCATCACTCACAACGTTCTCAATGTAGGAACTGAAGGCCTGCTTGGCATGACTTTTGTATGACCCTGTTGTACTGCCAAATCTTTTTGCTTTTTGGTCAGCTTTGACTTCCTGAAGGCTCTCCGTTTCCGGTGGGATAGCCGTCTGATTGATCTGTTGCACCAGGATTGGCTATACCGTTGTGAAGTCAACTTGGCTGGCACATGCTTCTGTAGTGCATTCAAGCACTTAAAACGACTTTTAGTTGAAATATCATCCACCTGATTCATATAATTTCCTTTAAGAGGATTATACTACGTGTACATAGCATCCTTTTCTCGTGCGATGTAGTGATGCACTGGTTGAAACTCATTATCAATCACTTGATAAAACCATTGTTTTTAAAATATGAATTTCATAATACCTATTAGTGGTTAACAAAGATATATACTGTATTTGGCAAATACACTCGAATTTCTAGCTTCCTGATTGAGATCTAAAATATCGTTAAAATATCGTAATTATATATAATGTCAACCATCAAAACATCTTTACTAAATATAACTTGTATATATATTAGAGGTTATGATTTAAATATAAATTTATTATAGAAATCTCGGAAAAAGTTCAGAGAAGAGGAAACAATAGGTAAAAATAAAAGCCCAATCTGGTGTAGATAAATTTTCTTCGCATTATAATTCGCAAGGCAAGTATAGGGCTACATCAATATGGCTCCAAATATCTAAATGCCTTGTTTTCTATTTGTATATATCTTATTTCAGGTTATTAAATAAGTTAAATGGTCACTCAGGTGTAATGTGCAATGCTACCCTGTTATTTGCCTTAAGGGTAATTAAGTTTCTGGCCATTCTTTGTTTCTATCGGGTTTTAGTTTTGTGTTCTTGTGTTTTATTGGTTTGTCAAATTCCCTCCAAATATTCTTGGTTTTTCTGGTCACTCTGTCTAGATATTTTGCAGAGAGGTCATATAGATTTTATATCAGACAAATCTGATTAACTGACTGTGAAAATATCTTCTTATGTTATCATCTGGACTCCCAGTTATTTATGATGTAGATGCATTTAATATGCGGGAGCTTGCCTATTCCCTCAGAATGGTATGCTATTGTTTTTATGATCTATCATTTGTTTACAAAAGGTATATAATGTCTATGAAGATATTATAAGTTTAGATAGTAATACAATGTATATATTTTGTTGTAAATTTTAATTGTATGCACAAAATGTTATTTACAGGGAGTTTTTTTTTTTTATCAGAAAACCTCACCTAAATTCATTGCTCTTTTCCAACATTCAAGTTTCAAAGGATTCTCAAGTTATTGTCTAGTGATTTTTTTTCCTCATTTAAGAAAAGGGTCAATTTCTGAGTTTTATTTATTTTCTTGTATTTTTCTTCTTCTTTCTTCTATGTTTAATAAAATGTAAGAGTTATCTCCCTTTATGCAGTATTGTGTATAATATTGGATTGTGCATTAATGATTTTATGATATTCTCAATATTGTTGTTATATTTTTCAGGGCAATTATTATTTATCTGTAAAATAAACAGGAGTCTGAGTTTGCATAATACCATCATATGCAGAAAAATACATGTACCGACATCTTAATGTAGTGTATAAGAATTATTTTACTTTAAAATAATATTTCCCCGCGTATCAATATCCTTGAACAAGTATTAACCATATCGATATTGCGGACACCCCCCACCCCCCCCCCCCACCCCCACACACACACACAAATACATCTATAGTTTTTACCACTAATTCACGTAATAAATTACATGTGTAAATATCTATCTTTACAATGGTACTTGATGAGAGATTGTTCAGTTCATGGCCCTTACGATTAGTTGGACCTTTTTTCAAGCAGCATCTTTCATAAAATTAGAACACGTGCCCACTGTTTTAGGCCCAATCTATCAAAGTAAGTAGAAACTGAAACTTTAAAAAAAAAAATTCATGAATTCATGCTGGCAAGTCATAGGATTGTGACTACCGCATGACTCCTTGGTTTTTATTCTTATAGTAACTTTTTTTCCGTCCTTTACCTCTTAACCACGATTAGTTCAACATGGAGTATTTGATTTTTTGTGTTTTATTGATACTTTACTGCTGTAAGCAGAGCTGGAGTACACGGATAACAGCTTTTGAGTATAGAAGGCGATGTCCGAACACAGAGGAAAAATGGCGGCAGAGGGAAGAGGGGTATATATGCCCTGCAACCACAAAGTATCATTGCATTCTCACAGAAGATGGAAATATAGTTGAATTTTGCAACGATATAATATGGATTGAGGAAGGTAAATTTTACAATATGCCACTATATTTTTTTGTTTGGATTGATCAGTTTAAAGTTATTGTCGAATGCGGCGTACACAGTAATACAGGTATATAGGATTCTAGCATAAAGGACATAAAGGACTGGAGATCCTCAAAGATATTGATGATCATGTAAACCATCAATTTTTGGTAAATCTGTGAATTTGAACCGCTAGGATTCGGGTTTAGCGAAGCAAATTATGAAATTGTTTTCACACTTTTTATGATTCGATTTTTAAGTATAGAATATTCAATGATACTGAATTAAGTTTATATCAATGCTTAAACTGATATGATCTGTAACTTTGCGGGGGTTTTTTTTCGCACAAGTGTGTTTTCTTTTAGCCAAATTTATTTCAATCCCTTAAGAACTGCAAAATCTTAAACTTAGATCTTTCGGGAAAGGAAATTATAAATAAAGTACGATCACATCGCCAACTCTAGTCACATTTGTGGCATAAAAATATACAAGAAAAATTAAGGGCGCCATTTTCAGAAAATCACAGGGGTATGCATAAGATTAAAAACAGTTTTCACTCCTTCAACAAGTTCTTCCTGATGAAATTGCAATTTGAGGTCACTTTTTGTGGTCTTTTAGTAATAAAATTCATGATGTTCATGCTTTCGTAATGCATGTATCTGGACATCAGATCGAATTCAGTGATAGTTGCTCTGAGAAAGTAATTATTCAATGCTTGGACTACATTTTTTCCTTACATTATATTGTCAAGTCCAAATCAATCAATAAAAAATAATCAATCAGGCTATTTCATGGTAGTAACCGGGGGGGGGGGGGGGATATTTTCCGATATATAGATTACTATAGAAAACATAGCTACTATATGCTTGTGCCCCCTCAATAAAAACGTCTGATGACCTTTTTTTTTCTTGTTTGTCAAGGAATTTTTGGTAGTTGATAGTGCCCCCTCAACTGAAAATGTATGACTGTGCCCCCCAAACTGAAATTGCTTCCTACGGGCCTGTATTTTACCGAGTATTTGTGGTCGTTGTGTTTCAACACAGGATGAACTTCCCCATTCAGCTGAATGATCACAGAGAGGTCTGGAAAGGTCACTGAATGGTAGAGCTCTGACATTCAGTCACCTTTCAGTAGACTTCCAGTTACTAATAACTGAATGGCAGAGCTTCATCTGGTGCAAGAACACATGTACTTATAAGTACATATAAAACTGTATACTTATTGACATTTGTGTGATATTACATATGGATAAGTGAAACTATGACATTAAAATGATATGACGATTATAGTTTTCTGAACTTTCAGATTACTGTCCAATGCTTAACTTAAAAACTGGAAATATTGACGTCAGACTTTGTCCAGAGAACGCAGTCTGTCCGAGTGGACACTATCTTTCCAGTACAGTCTACAAATGTAACAAATCTTACATTTTCTTTTTTATTATCCTATATCTTAACTAAAGTAAACAAATACACTAATACTGTAGTACTGTAAATTGGTACTAATAAAATCCGTATCTTATTTCAGATCCTGCCTGTCTTCAGAGGTAAAACTCTTTTTTCACAATATACATATTTTTTTAAAATCATATAAAAATATCATTCCTGGACAGTTATTCAACGTAAACACAAACCATGCATGTATTTGTAGGAAAACAGATTTCACTACCCATACTCCAAGGAAAACTGTGACGTCACTTAACCTTGAGGCACATAACAGGTAAGTGTAATGAAGAATAATAAAAAGCATGTTTGTATTGACCTCCATTCTAATTTTCTTTCTGAACAGCAAAAAATTCTGTTTGAATTAAAACAGAAAAAATGATAACTGTAAACGAAGAAAATAATATTTCATTATTTGTAATAAAATATGTTTCAGCCCGGAGACCACTGACGATGCAGAAAACAACCTTAATGTGATAACTCTCCTCGTGTCTATAGGAATCATTCTCACTGCCTGTATCTCTGTTGTGGTGTTAGCCCATGTACGAGGACAAAAAGGTATAACATACCTGAATGGAATCGATTTAAAAATAATCATCTTTTTTTTTTTTTTTTTTAGAAAATATTATTTCTTGTACCTAAATAAAGTTTTCCTTCTTAAGTACATGTATAACTTTATGAGATCCATCACTGTTCGTTATCTTCACCTTTTTCACTGATTGTATATGCGGCATGTGCAATATTCTGTCATTAGAGCTCTATTTACTCTTTCAGAAAATGCTTTACGTGATAAGACAGCGACTAAGGAAAACGTATAAGGAGGAACAGCAGTGGTTTCCTGTCCTTTAGGGGATGAGAGGGTTGGACTCTTAAAAAGAAATGTTGTATCTTAGTAAAATAAACCACAGCTATAATTCTAAATAAAATTAAGTCGTGTTTTGAAAACAACGTGTATTTGAGGTTACAGATGGTTTTTTGGTATTACTGCTTTTTTTTTCCTATATCAATATTATTTTATATTCAATTACAGAATGTATAAAGCAAAGTATATTTAATATCAAGTATGAAAAATGGATGTGTTACGGATCTATTGTGGATAGGTACATTCATGGTGATGCAATAAAAATTATTAAATTTATTACTCAGGTATAACACAGGAAGCATGCCCTTGATCATACGGAGACAGTAGCCATGATCATGTATACAATAATACACATCTGAGGATAAATCATAACCGCATAAACAATATATGATAAATACCCTTACATCACATTAAACTTTGTAACTCTCAGTCCAACATTTCCCCCGCACCATTTTCATCCCTGAGTTACCAAGTACACTGTACATGTCTGAATCGTTCTGGGCCTGAATAAAGCATCTTCCCAAACATCAACTGTGTGGAGTGGAGTAGATCAGAAACCCTTGACTTAGGAAGATGGAATAAAGATGTTTACATGTTTTTACCCATGTTTTCGCAGCAAAGATCTCATGACTATCACATATACAAAATGTATTTTTTAAAAAAAGAATAATATCCCTACATCTTATTTTGGATATTAACCTGGGAATCTGATGGAGCTCAATCAGAGACGGTAGTCACAATTAAATAAACTGAGCATGAGACAACACTGAATGTGAATATGTTACATTACACACTTTTATTTTTCTAAGAATAGAAGTATCAAAGGAAAAACATGAACTGTACATGATTCAAGAATACCTTAACATCCATTAATTACATGTAACTGAATTGTGCTGTTTTTTTGTTTTTTTTTTGAGAAAATTTATAACCCATAAAAGTATATATAGCGAATTTGCAATACACATATCTTCCTTCAAGTATGAATACCGAATGCTTTCAGACAAGTATCATGTGTGGATCTAGACGGAGGGTCGGGAGGGGTGTTTCAACACCCCCCCCCCCCTACACACACACACCACAACCACCACCCTGGAATTTGAAGAGTTATTAAATGTATATACTGAAGTAAATTAAAAAAGACGTCGGACCCCCATAGAAAAAAGGGACCCACCACACCACAAAATAGGTTTTTTCATGTTTTGGGAATGGATTTTTTTTTTGCTTGCCAAGAAATTTTCTCGGTTTGATTCGTTTGAGAAAGGCGTTCTTTTTCTTGTCAAGGAAATATTTTGACTGGGGTGGACCCCCCCCCCCCCCCGGAAAAAATTTTCTGTATCCGCGCCTGAGTATTAATACAAAACTTACCTTGAAGAAGTAAAGTATTCTGAGGATTTAAATTTTAAATATAAATACTTAGGCTACAACAAATTACTCAAATCAGTATTTTGAATTTTGAGATTTTTATAAATTCGTTATAAAAGATATAAAATTCATTATTTTTAATCTCTACGGGACACGAATTGAATCAGTAAATTCGTTATATCAGAGATCGTTATAGCCCTAAAATTTAGCAAGGAAGTTTTAAGAATTTTGTCAGGGACATGGCCGTAGGAACGGGGGGGGGGGCATGAGGGGCCGTGCCCCCCCCCCCAATAATTTTGCCGATATATAGATTACTTTAGAAAAAAGAGATACTATATGCTTGTGCCCCCACAATAAAAACGTCTGATGACCTTTTTTTTCGGTTGTCAGGAAATTTTTGGAAGTCCCTCCCCCCCCCAACTGTCAATTGAAAAATGTATGACTGTGCCCCCCCCCCTCCCCCCAAACTGAAATAGCTTCCTACGGGCCTGAGGGATCTCAAAAAGCTTGGCTATATCCGGAAATTCGCTATATCAGTGTTCGCACTAAACGAGTTGTACTGTATATCTATATCATGATGCCACAACTGATTTTAAATTATTTGTCTTTGTCAATAATGATTGACACACAGATTAGTACATTAGTTGTGGCATATTCATAAATGTATAATTAAAAAATTATACATTTGAATATCATAATAATTAAAACAACATAAAACTATCACTATTACAATAGGCCTGTGTTTCAGAATTAAGATATCGGGGGATCTCGGTGATTGGGATTTACTTTAAATTTTTTTGTTAAATTTCAATAAATATCATAGAAAAGTTAGTCGAATTCCTTTGTACCTTTGTAGATATTCTCTTCCACTTGTCAAAATTAAAGAAAACGCTATCAGCACACATTGAAATAAAAAAAAAAAAAAAAAAAGCTACTCTATAGAAAATATAATTATTCCTGAAAAAGATTTACAGATGGTTTGTTACCCTTGGCTCTATATCGCTAACTTTCCTTTCCAAATATTTTTTTTCAAACCTTAAAAATGTCAATGCAAAGCTCAAATTTTAATGACCTTAAAAGATACTAACACCATTTGTATTTTCGACTTGCTCGGTCCAAGAGGTATTCTGATCTTTTTCCGTCCCTGGGATGTGAAATATTTTCCCAAACTTATAGCATCTTTGGAACCCAATATGTATTCAGGATTTTTTTTTTTTGGCTCCTTTGAGCTGTATTTATTTGGAAACTGACAAAAGTCGATATATTCATATTTGTAATGACACCAATGCTATAGCGCTAAAAAAAAAATCCTTTGAGAATCTAGCTGTTATATGTACAATGTATTACATGCATTTATTAAGATGTAGTTATAAATATAAAAGTTCAAATTGTTTTAATCTGAATAGTGTACATTTAATTTCATCATATATCTAATCACTTTGCATCACACAAGAATTCAGAAGGAATCCAGAAGTATAAAGTAAAAATCATTATCAATTCTATGCAAAAAAGTTTAATTAAAGTTAACTGTATACATGTTAGATGCCCTGTGTTCCACCAGGAACCAAAAGGAACCATGAGAGAGTATACATGTTAACTGTTAATTTCAAAGTAATGGATAATTTTTTAGCAGAATAGTTTTGGTTTGGAGCAGTTGAAAAATCGTTCTTATCTCTCATTCCATACTTTTGGGAAGATAATAACAATGATGTGTAAGTCATAATAATAAATTGCAGTGTTATACCTAATCGACTGATGTGCAAAAAAAAAAAAAATTAGGAGTGATATAGACAAAGTCAGCCCTAAAAGAAAAAAAAAAGAAACACATTTACAAATTGTACACCAATATAAATTATATGGTTTTTCAGAATTTACATAGCCCTACGTAAAAATTAGTTTCTTATTCATAAACTTGAAGGACTGCGTGCAGTTTTTAATTTGTTTTGCTCTATGGCAGTGTAAAGCGAATAACATTTTGCGGGCCAGGTTCTCTACAAATCCTTGGATTTTCATATTTCTGGAGTTGTTTTGTGAAAACAAGGTTTTGGAGGTGTGGATGATAATTTGCAGTAGAATTTCCTTCATCTGATATATAAGAATTTGACTCCTGGCTACCAATTTCCTCACTGAGATAGGAAGCTAGTTTGGCCATGATGGCTGTCTTTTATCATGCAGAATAGGACATTTTAACATGTAGTCTATCCTCTGTATTGTACTTGCATAACAAGCAAATTCTAGTCACTTCATACTGATTAAACTTGTTCATGTTGCCTTGTAACCGACAAGTTTTCGTTGCGAGTTGAGCCTTTACAATGGGTTTCCTGGAAGCATTCGGGGAATGAGAATATGACTGCCATAATAGATGAGGATGTTTTCACGAATTTGATAGCTTCAGATAGTAAAGGGAAGCTTTTCCTGAGATATCAATTTCATTTTTAATTTGCCAATAGTCATTAACTTTTTTTGTTTGTTTTTGCTTTGGAATTCCACTGACTAGCCTTTACTGTACCTCTTATATTTCCTAGTGGGTAGATAGAGTGCATCTGGCAGATCATATTTTTCTAATACTTTTGGGCCTAATGATAAACCACTGGCACTGCTTCGAGATTTTATAAGTAGATGTCGGACAGCCATTTGATGCTCTAGTGCTGAGAGATCTTTGGCAATATTATGGAAAGTAGTGATAATTCTGGTATCAATGTGGGCCTCTATCGTTTGGCTTCCATCGGGGAGAGTTTAAAGTGGCATCAGCACCTTCATTTGGTATCTTGCAAGATCCATTTTCCTTACATTTAATAGCTCAATCCCATGTAGGAGTCTAGATATAACGAATCGTTGACCATATACATGTGTTTCTTTTTTAAATGTATTTAAAGAAGATTCAAAATTTTATTAATTTATCTTACATTTAACAATTTGGAAGACAGGCCCCTATGTTTAAAAACTGATCTTCCTCTCGAGTCTGCAACAACCTCACCCCACCCACATTTTGGGGCTAAATTTATCTTTCTCCTTTTTTTTTTTGCTTGCTTTTTTTGTTTTGTTTTTTGATTATAAATCAAGTGTAACCCCCCCCCCCCCCCCCCAATGCTGCATCCATACAACATGTACCCAAAGCGAGATAACTCCAATTTCACAATATGGAAACGAGGCCGAAAACAAATGTACTTCCGGTAGTAAACTAGATGAATGAAGAAATTTAACTCAGGTCCAATTTGGACAGAATATGACATCAAGACGGTAAGCAGGGTACATTGTGTTGTGGGTTGTTGTAAGTTTTATTGATATGGTACTGCACAGGTTATGACAGATTGTTGCTGAGTGACCACGATTTCAGTAAATACAAGCCTGTCAAGCAGATTTCCCACAGGTGGTTTGCAATGCATTTACAGTTAGGTGTGTTTTTGAAACATTGATATTAATTTTACTGGAAAGTGTAGTTAATGGACATGACATCATATAAACTTTCATGAAAACTACATTTTGTGGACATGCATTGAAAGTGCATCCACGTCATAGGTTACTAATCGGCAATATCCTGGCACTACCCAGAACTTCAACATTGTTCAACACAACAGGTTGGGTCAAATGGCCCGATGTGATAGCCTGTTTGGTATATAAATTTACATGCAAAAAATTAAGATTTTCCATTTAGCTCTAAATATTATAAATCCGCATCAAAATACTTTAAAAAAAAGCAATAACTTTTGGTAACAATTAAGTATTTCAGTATTCCCACTGTTTAGAAGATTAATCCCGCGGGGGTCCTAAACTTCTTGGGGATGAATTTCACAAACTGTATGGTTATATCAGTTAAATTAAAGTTTATGGGACAGCTTTGTTTAGCATGAAACATAACAGTATGTTAACAGACGAAACTTAACATATATTATTGAGAAACTGACAAAGGGGTAGTTAGAATAATCTGTCTCGGGACAGGCCCTCACCACATTTAGAGTGCCTCCCATATACCTGCAATGTAGCAGAAAATTGCAGAATCACTCAGAAACGATTTTGGAAACAATAAATGAAGATGCACTGAAAATAACCATCAAATTAATCACAACAAACCATTTTGAGATTGTGGGTGCCTTTTACCCAAAATATTAATCCATGTAATGGCAGAATTCAACACTTTTTCTCAATGTTTTTTACTCGTTTTAAATTTACACGTCATGTTAACATTCGTAACTCTCCGGATTTTTCATAGTATATGCACTGAGTGAAAGTTATCTCCCATGTTTGTTTTGCTACATAGCCAATACACAGAATGCATTCTATTGTTAAACCTTATCATTTTAACAGTAGAATATTCTAGACTAACGGGGGGGGAGGGGGGGTCTCAGAACTAAAATTAGTTTATGTCTAGGGCTGTCACGGTTCCAAAATTTTTCGGGTCAGGTCGGTTCTGTAAATTTTCGGTTCGGTTCCGGGTTTTTCGGGTCGGGTATTTACATCTATTTTAAACCTTAATTTCATGAATTTAACTTGAAAAATCTTTATTTGTTACATTATATTTACATTGAAAACAAGTCTTAACCATGCGAACGTCTAGACATCGGTGACTTGGCCTACTATTAGCCACAACCTGACCATTCCTGTTTGTTTTGATAATTATCTAATACTTCCGTGACAATTAAGTGTTTTGTAATGGAATGAAGTAGATTACAGTTGTGATGTTTATTTATCACTGTTATCGTCATCATTCCTTCGATTTCGTCGCCATTTTTTGTATTGAACAGACTCTAATATATAAACGAGACCCGAACCGAAATCCGGAAAAATGGAACCGGAACTGAACCGAGCAACTTGGACCGCGGTTCTCGGTTATTTCGGGTACTCGTGACAGCCCTATTTATGTCAAGAACAAAAATTAGATCCAAATACCTGAATAAATTTTAATTAATATAGGCTTAGTCCTATTAATCACTTGATATTCTCCAAAATACATACACTGCCCATAGTGCATAAGTTATACAGGTTTATATGTACTCTGCTGTACATAAGATCTTAATTGCTATTCATAAACATTCAATTTTTTTTTTCAGATGAAATAATTTTATGATATTTACTGTGTACAACATATCAAGAGGGGAAAAATTATTTGTTAGGCTGATCTCTGACATTTACAGAATATTGCATTTGCTTTGATCAGTATTACTATTATATAATCCAGATAATAATTTGGAAAAAATATTCCTATACTACCTTGTATTAGTAACATTAGTCAATTGCACAACTTAAAACTGTGCTTACTTACCTGGTTATTAATATAAATTAATATTATAAATATACTGACCATTTACAGAGGGGCTTTCCTTAAGAATTTCAAGTTGAATGTAAACTCCCTTCTGAGCGATTTCTCCAATGTCTGAAGCAGTTGATAGAATTTGTTGAAAGATTTTTATTAACTGAACATTTGATTTGCACTTTTGGTTACACCTGTACACTGTCCGTAAGTTAAGACCCAGAAAGACTGATTGCAAAATAGTATGGTGCCAGGGAATTAAATTCACTAGGTAGTTCAGACCAAAAATCAAGTTGATGTGACTTTCCTAGAAAAATTAAAAATTTTTTTGATGAAGGTTGTTGCCATGGTTACTAAAAATAGTTGTGTGAAATACTTTCGAAATGCTACTCCTCCAACAGTTTTAGTCTGATTTCAGTATAACTTGGCACACAAGTAGACTACACTAAGATACATAATTCTCTGCATCGGTTTTGGATTTCAATGAACGGTATTGCCATGGTAACTCAAAATCGAAATTTTTGTGAAATTCTCCTCCTACAGTTTTTGTCCAATTGCGATTAAACCTTACTCAGAAAGAGACTAAACCAAGGAGCATTATTTTATTTATTGCTGTTGCCATATTAGGTTCAAGTCTAAGTGCTACCTTTCTCTATCTAAAAACCAGTAGAGCTACAATCTCATCAGAGACTTCTTGTCATGTCAGGTGCCTGTGTGATCATTTTATTCATCACTTTCAAATATATAACATATTACTGTTGAAATATTCTGTAAATATGTTACTACATGTATGTGTATTTTCACAATTTCTATGTCATTTGTATATTTGTGGGGTAGAAACTTTTGAAAAGCATCATAACAATGAGTTAGGTAGTATACCACATATATTTGCATGTGCCTAAAACAGAATGTCATATACATGTATTTTAAAGAAAAAAATATCTATTGGTTATTATTTGACCAAATATCTGGTAATATTTTAATACCCGGTAAATTATTGGAACCTTTCAAGTAAAACTGCATTCATTTCCTATTCAATTGCTCTTGTCAAGAAAATTTTTTCATTGATTGCTTACTACCACTAAAATAGGTTCCTGGAGGATACAAAAAGAGCAAAAACCTGGTAATCAATACAAAGCGCTAAAAATTGTAAGTTTATCATGTTTATAGATAAACTTGCTTGCCAAAAGTTTTTGCATTCAATGTAGATTTATGCAGATTTGAAAAAAAATATTAAGGTAAATACATTTTTTAATAATTTCTTTTGGCACTCTGTTTGGAATATTATACCATATTTGGGCAGTTGATCCTGTTCCATATTACTTAGGGATGCACGACTTTATCAGTATACCGGTATATTGGGATTTTTTTTATTGCGTGATATGTATCAAGATACAGAGACTTAAATACTGGTATTTACTATTTAGGTACATAATATATTCCAGAAATTATTCATCTATTTGTTCGAATTGTTAAATTATAGTTACAGGAAGTTTAATAAAAAAAAATTTGAAAAAGTAAAACAATGGCATCCTAGCATCCAAACATGTTTTATCTGTATATTATATAAATAAAACTTTAAAATTTTTACAGCATTTTTGTAAGAAAAACTATGGATATTCATTTAAAATCATAGTTAAAAAAGTATGTAAAAATTTCATGAATATTATCATGATATTCTGGGAGAAATACAAAATTTTTGGCAATACCCATAGCTAATATTGCTAATTCAATGCTGTACCATTGTAATGGATCTAAGCATTTTTAGTTCAGTTTTATGCTGATGCAATTTATAGGCCTTTCAACTAATTTTTCAAGTTGCGCGTATGGTAAAAAACATTTGATAGATAGATTTACAGCTATGTGGAATTCTCAAAAAAGATTATAACATATACATACCTTTAGTTAAATCTTTAAAAATTTAATTATTAATAGTTGATTTGTACGATGTTGTGTTTTAAGGACAGGTAACTCAAGTGTAAAAAACGACCAACAAATGGCCGATTTATGAGTTATCGTTTATAGGAATGACATATAGGCTGCTTCAGTTGGTATTGTTATGTACACAGAAGGGTTCCTTACATTATTTTGTACACAAAAGGGTTTACCAAAACAAGGAGAATATCCTCACTCTACCTGAAATAACGGGATCAAATGAATGGGGAACGGACTATATTCAAGATTTTTAACTCTCTCTGACAGTTGTTACGAGGAAGAAAATATAATGTCATGTCTTTTATATGTGCATTGGTGTGCTTCTTATTTAACGATATACATTTCTACAAGTAAATGCAACAATTAATTATCTTATTCGTTTTACTAAGCACGAAGAAGAACGACCAAGTATAAAAATTTAATCAGGTTAAAATTAAGAAGGGGGGTAGATTTCACTTTATAATTTTATTAAAAATTTTACTTATATATTATTTCACAGTGTCAGTAACTACATTATAAATAATTTTAACATTTGTTCTAAATTTTAAAACCACTGGATTTCGCTGACAGCAAAGGAAAAATAGGGAAATGCTGAAAATTGATCTGTTAAAAAACAATTGGATACCTCACACCTGCTTTAAACAAGTTCCGGTAATGAGTTATCGTTCTTTATATCGAACCCTAGCGGCAGTTGAAAGGCCTACAATTTAGCTTTAATGGTAGACATTGCCGCAGAAGAGGGTGTCCCTGGTTCTGGATTGAATGCTGCTGTCTGTTTTTTACTGACAATGCAGAGTTGATATATCTAAGGATGCACACTACCAGACCTGCTTCGGATGCTGGATCTGACCTACTTTTTCCAGATGAGTGTCCAGGTTAAAGTATTTGGAGCAGGATCATTCTCAACAACTGTAAGCCCCATGGTGACCAACCTTGCATTGATAATCAACCTATTTATTATGCACGCTACTGGACTCACTTTTGATGCTGGATCTGGCTTATATTTTCCAGATGAAGTACCAGGTCAAAGTTTTTGGAGCAGGTTCATTACCAAGAA